ACAGGAACAGTAGAGCCCTTGACTGTTGAGATGAATTCGAAGACGGTGTGACAACACTTTCACTTTGAGGGGTTTGCAAGGGCTGCTTGTCTTGCCCAGAAATCTGTTAGTCAAAAATCATGTCAATAAGAATAAAGACCTTTGGAATCAGATCACCACAGGCCATACGACAGAATTTAACATGCAGAAATCAAAAGAAGAGATATATAACAGTTACAAAAGAGCCAGCAAAACTCTGCAAATGACTGCCGTTGCTACTTTGTTACCAGGTACCATCAGACCCCATAAGCAAAATTTTACATGATACCATAGCAGTTATAAAAGAAGTAACAAAACTCTAACAAAGTATATGTAATAAATTCAAACCTCTGCAATCTCTTAATTAGCTTATCGCATGTATGTGATTTAGTGAGCAAAATGTGAACTCACCCCAAATTTCAATGTTCTATCATACAGAGTGACAAGGCTGGAAAATAGCTTCACAGCATAATTTGCAATCTCTTCAGGAATATGCAAATCCAAAATCCTCCCAGCTTGAATTAGAATGTCGTACAGAACCTAATCGGTAACCCTCTCGTCAACTAAGAAGTCGATAAAATTGAAATGGAAGAAAATAAAATAAGATTATAAAATCCTAACAAATCAAATGGTGTAAAAAATATATATCCATTCAAACTCTAACCAAATTTTAAATAATATAACTCACATCATCACATTATTAGTTTAAAATTTTAGCCCATAAAATTTGTTCATTTTATTATTGTTCATTTCTTTATTGAAAATTTCTCAAATTTACTTTTATAATTGACAAAAAAATAAAAAAATCTATTACTACAAACCAAACATGAACAAAAACTCCCAATTGTAATTTTGTAGTCGTCTTATTCAATTCAGCTTTCAATGGTTTTCCGCAAAAGAAAACGGGAAAAAGAATGCTCCACTTCAGCTTCAATCTCTCATTCAATTACACAGTAAGAAGAAATTTAGGATAAAAACGAAGACAAGAGAATGAAGAAAAAGGAATTGGCCTATTTACCACATAATACCCATAACTAGGGTTGGAAAAAGTGGCAATACAGATTTTCCAAATAAATCACAGAGAAATTTCAAGCAACTTGCCCCTGTTAATCAGTACCACTATGTCTGTACTAGTACATTACTCTTCTTCTTCATCTTCTGCTACCCATGGCCGTGACCAAACTGTTGCTCTACGTCTCCATTAGGAACAATCACTGAGCTGTGATGATGCACCATATACCACCTCCCATTATGGAACTCAAACACATTAGTCATGTTAAATGGTCCGATAATTTCAACATAGGTCTTCATGGTAACCCAAGCCATGTCTGTCCGCACCCTGGCCCGCACATCTCGAACCTGAAAATCGAACCATTGCTCCCAGGTAAATTTAACCTCCCAACTCTCAATTACGGCATTATACCTGCAGGAGCCAACAAGATGACTAGTTAAAACTTATTTGTGAAATAATATACAAAGTAAACTAGTGACTAGAAAAAAAAAAAAAAACTACAGAATACTTTGCAGAGGCATAACAGAATCGAAATCAAGAGATCAAGATTCTGCCCAAGGCAAAGTAGAAGAGGGGTTCAGTATGCTTGATGACAAAATCTTTAATTGTCACTGAGGACCAGAGACTTGGAGGAAAGGAAAAGAGAGAGAAAAAGTTCATGGCAAGTTTGTGATGGTAGAAAACATTTTCACAGTATGGTTAAAAACTTTTAAACACATAAAATAAGCAAACGCATGGCAGATGTCAGGCCTACTACTGCCAAACAAATTATACTGCAACAACCAAAGCCTAAAAAGCAAGTAATGCAAGCAAACATTTGAGAAGCATGAATTGAAGTTTAAGAACGCATGAGAAAGCTAATTAGTTGGCGAACTCATGAGACAGAGTAAACCTAGATTGTGGTAGAAGACTACTGATGTAATAATTTTCTATCAATATCAAAAAAACCAAATACTAATCACTTATTAAAATATTGAATGGAAGCCACTATACCCTGAAAAATGTTCTCCTGAGGCAAGAATGCACTTTACATAATCTGCATTAAACCAAAAATGACTCATTGCTGCAAGAGACCTTTCTCTGATGATGTTAAAGAATTCTTCATTAACATTCATAATAGCTCTTGTAGCTGCATAGTAAGCCTTCCAACCATTTACTGGTGTGACACTATCTTGCTCCAAAGTAAAATCCTAACAAAATAAATGTACGATGGAAATTATGCATACAAACCAAGAATCCAGAAAGCAATGTGCAATTAACTTAACATGGCAAGGCCAAAGGTCCATTGTTTTCAGGTAAAATGTGAATTTATTACACAAAGAATCAATATTTTCAAAGTAGCACTTACACTGGACTGCTATTACCCATAGTACAGTAAAACAAATATACCAATTTCAGAAAATCATTAACCATTCAGACCTTTAGCTATCCAATCTCTTTCCATCCCGGAAAACTGGACAATTTTTTGAAACCTTTTAACATATA